TTTTTGTATTCTTTAGAATTGTCATAATTCATTTTCATGCAAAAGGTTTCTTAAGTGATCATGGCATATCACTCCTGTTGTTGTTTTCCAGTAATATTTAGGATTGATTTCTGTTATTTATTTATAATAATAATTGTATAATAATATTAATTGTATTTATTTAGAATAAATATAAATAAATTGTTATATTTATTGAATAACAAATCTAACAATTCAAAAGAGGTGGGGGGTGTATAGGGTGGTTCGGCCAGGGTTTCATTTAAACTAGAACCACCACTACCCTCCCTGATCGTCGTTGACAACACGCACACACCTTCAATAGACAGCAATGGCTATTTAATATTTACCTTAAGCTACAGTATATCAATAGAAGAAGCTGCATTAAATAGCTCAAAAAGCAATATGGATAAATAATATTATTAGGTATAGTGAGTGTGTATATAGTAATGCCTTTCATTCAGTTTGTTCATTTGTTTGGGTTATTAATAAACTCATTATTCTTTCATTCATTTTCTTTTTGGCTTAGTCCCTTTATTAATCCAGGGTCACCACAGCAGAATGAACCGCCAACTTATCCAGCACATTTTTACACAGCGGATGCCCTTCCAGCTGCAACCCATCACTGGGAATAATAAACTCATTAATCTTCATTAATTTTAAACATAGCATATACCGTATGCTGTACAATAAAGGCACGTAAAAAAAGAAGTTATTTATACAGTATATGAAAAGTGTTTTTAAACTAAACATAGATTTTTATTTGGTTTGCACATGTACTTGTTGAATTATTTTAAGGAATAAATAGCAATATTTCACGAAGAATTAATTAAATGAATAAAAACTACATTATTTCATTTACCAGAAACAAAAATATAACATTACACTGAATTCATAATTTTTTTGTGTGCCACCCCAAGATTTGGTGCGGCCTCTTCTGGCCACCCCTAAGAAAATTTTCTGGGGGCGCCACTGCTTATTACATTTAAACTATGCGCAAAATAAAGTCTTAAGGCCAATTTGTTGTTATGCATTGAGTGTATTACTCAATTATGTCCTGCTTAGCCTTCACAAAGTTGCATACTCTTCACCATAACCTAGTACAGACCTCTCAAAAATGTAACTACATTTCACATACAGGCAGAAAACAGTATTTGTGATTGGTAGGCAAGGTAATGGAGGAAGTGTCGAGTCCCATGGAGAAGTTCAGAATACTTTTGAGCTGTTTTTACTTTGTGAATAAAGTTATCGATTTTTTTAACCCTGAATGAGTGTTATATATAATTAAATGGAATATAGAAACCCCGCTGCCTACTAGTGTTTCTGAAGTGTTATTGCCAGAGCAGCATAGTCAGAAAGCAGAAGTATAAGTGCTCACAACATGCATCAGCTAAAGGATGTGCATTGTAAACGTCGCAGTGTATGCCAATCACTTGACGCAGCAATATAAATCAGGCTTTAGAGAATAAATCTTGAGTTAAGTAGGTTTCTACTGAAAAATAAAGCAACATTTAGAATTGAACTTATTTTGGAGACAATATGTGTGTGTGTGTGTGTGTGTGTGTGTGTTTGTGCTTAAGCAACTGCACATGGACTTTAATGATCTCTGCAGGTACAATCTTCCTTCCAGAGCATTATGTGAGACTGCGAGGTCAATGCAGGTGATCCCTACTGCTGCTTATAGTGTGACAGTCAATTTACTTCCTGCTCGGTAGGAGTATTTGCTTCTTTGCGTGTACACAGCATACACTGTCCCACTTTCCAGGCGAACCAGGGAGGAAGTGTAATCTGTTACCTGAAAACCAGGACTTGATTCACACATGCACATATCTGCAGGAAGTACAGCTAATCCTGCAGCACATTATCAAACCCTTCTTTTTTCATATAATAGTTTTACCGGCTTTTGGTTTGACAAGAAACTTGTATGTTTTTCTGAGGAGCATGGCAGATATGAGAAAGTATTTCTGGGGCTTGCTTTCACTTTTTCCGCCTGAAGCTGAGCCTTAGGTATCAGGGATGACTTGGGAAACACGTCTGTGCCGCACCGGGCCTGTGAAACACTATGGCAGATGTTCGGAAAGGGAAGTCTAAAGATGACGCCTCCTGAATGGGGAACAGAAAAACTGCAACCCAGGGCCCAAAAGAAAAGCTTTGCTAGGGGCTCAGTGAGTGAAAATACCTAAAATTATACACCAGAAACTGAGGCAAAGATTCTTAATCAGGTCATGTTTCACTTAGTAAATGTAACTTTTTTAGGCCTTAATGTTAGCAATATACACAGGACACTACTTGGTAATGCGCTACGAAAACAAAGGGTTCATTAGCTTATATGCTAATGAATGCACAATACACATATGATGTTAGTCCCAGCACTATATTTCTCAGATATTTTTTGTTAAAAGGATGTGTTATCATGATTTTGAACGAGTACCTTCTAAGTGTTGATCCTGGAAGATTTATATTTGAGGGATTCCTCATAATATCTGGAAGCTGATAACCAATATATAAACCGATAAATACACATTTTGAATCAAACCAGCAGGCACAGGATGTCAACATGACATCAGATTGACATTGTACCCCAACGTCATGGGACGTTGAATTTTGTTTGAAAATGAAAATTAGGTTGATGTCAGAACCCAATGTTAGGCCGACGTCAATGTCCAACATCGGACAGATGCCGCATTTTGGTTACTTTCCAACGCAATATAAAAACAACAGATATAAACGTCTGATGATGTTACAGCTTGATGTTGTATGGACGTTTCCACTGTGATGTCTATCAGACATTGGATTTTGAATTTCATATCTGATGAAAAAATGTCATTATTTGACTTTAATATGCGGTTGGGTTAAGATATTGGCTTGATATTAGATTTTGGTCAATTACTAACAACAAACAACAAATCAACGTCGTTTCACGTCATTATTGAACATCAAAATAACATTGTCCTTAGATGCTGGTGACCTAAATCTAAACTAATATTAAAATGTATTATGTTGTGTGTGTATATATTTATACACACACACACACACACACACACTTTTTCATAAACTATTTTAAGGAATTAAAGGAATAGGCCCCTTTAAGCTATATTTTTTTCGATAGTCTAGAACAAACCACTTTTATACATTAACTTGCCTAATTACCCTAACCTGCCTAGTTAACCTAATTAACCAATTTACACCTTTAAATGTCACTTTAGGCTGAATAGAAGTGCCTTGAAAAATATTTAGTAAAATATTATTTGCTGTCATCATAGCAAAGCTAAAATAAACCAGTTATTAGAAATAAGTTATAAAAACTATTATGTTTAGAGATGTGTCTCCGTTCACCAGAAAATAAATAAATAAATAAATCAGGGTGGGTAATAATTCAGGGGGGGCTAATAATTCTGACTTCAACTGTGTGTGTGTGTGTGTGTGTGTGTATGTGTATGTATGTATGTATGTATGTATATATATATATATATATATATATATATATATATATATATATATATATATATATATATATATATATATATACCTATACTGTTATAATTTTTTTAAGTACATTTTGATATAAATTTTCTCCTGTTATGTGTATATATGTGCAGAATGTTATGTCATGTGCAGGGCCAGAAAAAGAACACATTGGGCCCTGGAGCTATAGCAAATCCAGGGCCTCATTTAATTTTTTACCTCACTCACGCACGCACACACACAGAAAATGAAAAATAATAATAAAAACAATCCATGCCTCTAATATAAAAAAAGTAGTCAGTCAGATTCTTTTTTTTTTTTCAGATGTATGTCTGATGAAAGCCAATGCCAATATTTCATTGTTCTGTATAATTACTGTCATTTTCATAAACGGAGCAAGGTAAAGATTCATAAAAATCTTTGTTTTCTGGTTCGTTGTATTTACCGAGTGTATTTACTTGAGATACTTATTGCACAACAATGGAGTGAAAAAGTAAGTGATTGTATTTGATTTATTCGCAAACTGTTTGTGAGATGGAAGGATTGCACAGGGGTGTGCACTGATTTCTTGAGACCAGCTGTAGCCAGCACAGCCGAGACTGCACTCCAGTTATGAGTCCATTCAGGATGATTACGCCTATCTCAGCTTCTATTACTACATGCAAGTTAATCACTAATGAATACTGTTTGAATTTTTTTTTGTTCTACAACAAGCTTGGTTAGCCTACGTTTAACTGGACGGTTCTCGTGGTAGTGCCGAAATAAGAGACTGTCCTGGAAAAATTGGGATATCTGATCACCCTTATAGGTGACTAAAAAGGCTATTTAAAGAGGTGTTTACCTGCGTCATGGTGTAAGTTAATTCTTCAGCCAATCAAGAGACCTAGGGCTTCAGCCCCACCTAGCCTTTATGTTAATCCAGCCCTGGTTATGTGCATATAGTAGATGTGTTTAGTAATAGTAGAGATGTACAAATATTAAATGATTTGGCAGATACCGATACAAGGTAATTTTATATCAGGAAGCCAATTATTAGTATAGAAATACAAATCTTCTGATGTCATGCACATGTGACATCAGACATAGTATGTGTATTACTTGTTTAGCCTATATCAGGGATACACAGATACAGACATTTTGGCTGATAAGATAACCAACATTTGATATAAATGTTTCATAACGCAAACAAATACAACGCTAACTATATACAATATGCAATGATAACTAATTTTACGTTAAATCTGCAAGAAAACATCTTGACCTTCCTGTAAAATGCATTAGCAAATATCCAAAATATTTGTTCTCACAGCAATGTTAAATCCGATGGGAAAAATATAATAAAGTAATATTTTAAAGTCAGACTACATGGTATATTACCTACATGAACACACTGGGCCAATACGCCATGGCATCTAGCAGCACACATCAACTTATTAAACAACGATGTATTGGAAATGAACAAAATCTGGCACCTCAATCACTCAGACCACATAAATATTACATCCAGTAGCAATCAAATAACACTGAAAGGTTCTTACCGGACCGTCGACTGATACACCAGGTCTTCCCGTCTGCGGTAATCCTCCATATGAGAGTAATTTGTATTGAACATAGCATCGTACGTAAAAATCCTCTGCTTAATGGTGCCCCCGTCAGTAACCTGTTAGGAAATAAGAATAAAACATTCATAAAACGAGGTGTCTCATAATGAAGTGGATATTCCATAGACCCCTATACATAAATAATGAGACGAGACAGTACAAGAGCTCAGTGCCCACAGGCAAAGTTAGTTCTCACACTTTAAAATGATCCCATTGATCCGTTTAGAGTTATTATTGGTATATTTTTTAAGAGCTCTTGAGGAGACACATTTAAAAGAGTTCCGCCAAGCATGATGAAATTAGATGAATTTGCATATGTGACATTAGGTATTTAGTGCACTATAAAGTAGCCACCAATAAGATGAAGAAGGAAAAAAAAAGGTGTGGGGGGGGGGGGGTTGTATTTCAGAATATTTCAGATTATTATCACTGCATTTACATTTCAAATATCTGCTGAATATATTTTGTGACTGTAAGGCTCAATTAAATAAATATATTTTAGCTTCAAAAATCTTTTTAATTTAAATCTTCATAACCCAAAATATACTTCACAAAGAAACTCAAATTTAAGACATTACCAACCTTCCAACAGAATGTGGATGGAGATCTAAAGTATTCAGTTTTTACATACATTCATTCATTTTCCTTTGGCTTAGCCCCTTTATTCATCTGGGGTCGCCACAGCGGAATAAACCGCCAACTTATCCAGCATATGTTTTACAGCGGATGCCCTTCCAGCTACAACACAGTACTAAACAAATATGTGTTACTAATATATATTTAGTGTATTCAATTCACCTATGCCACATGTCTTCGGATTGTGGAGGAAACCAGAGGACCCAGAGGAAACCCACATAAACACAGGGAGAACATGCAAACTCCACACAGAAACACCAACTGACCCAGCCGGGACCCGAACAGTAACCTTCTTGCTGTGAGGCAACAGTGCTAACCATTGAGCAACCATGTCAACCCTAGTTTTTACAAAAAAAATAAATAAATAAATAAAAAAATAAAAAAAATTAGAAAGATAGCACAATTTAAAATAGGCTGGAAAAACAAATATGTACCAGCTATTTATACATTCACAGCTTAGCAAATATAAGGCAGTGAACAAGAGTTATTTATTTGTGTATTAATTTATTTATTACTGTTATTACTTTAAAATAAAATTAGTTCCTTGCTTTAGATTAAAAAAAAAAATTCTTTACATATGAAATGTTAATGCATTTTCTTAGAAGATAATTAGGCAAAATAAGTACTTTATAAATAAATTATATTTTAAAACAGAGGTGTCTTTTTTGTACTTGTATACAAATATGTTTGAAATATTTCTTTAACTGTCTCAGCAAGGATGGCACTTCTTAACTCCTAATGTCGCTAGTTAACACAATCAATGCATTTTTTTTCCAACACATCTCATAATTTCCAAAATAAAACCCAGAAGGCACACAACATTATAAGCCATTAATATTAGGCTAGATTTAGGTCAGGTGACCAAATTTCAATGTCTTGCCAGTGTCTAAAGACAATGTTAGTTTGACATCCAATAACGATGTCAAATTATGTTGATATTTGGTTGATTTTAGGTTGCGTTGGAAAATGACCAAAATCCGACATCTGATAGATGTTATAGTGGCAACATCCACACAACATCAAGGTGTAACATTATTAGATGTTGATATTTGTTTGATTTTAGGTTAGACATTGGACATTGATGTCTGCCTGACTTTGGGTTCTGACGTCAACTCGATTTTCATTTTCAAACAAAATCCAGCATCCCCATGACATTGGGGTACAACGTCAATATGACTTTATGTTGACGTCCTGTGCCTGCAGGGAAGCCTCTATTAAAGCGTTGATATGTCGGTTTGGGAAGAAAGGTGATTTAAGTGAACGTGGAACATGGCATGGTTGTTGGTGCCAGACAGGCTGGTCTGAGTATTTCAGAAACTGCTGATCAACTGAGATTTTCACGTACAACCATCTCTAGGGCTGACAGAATGTTCAGAAACAGAGAAAATATCCAGTGAGTGGCAGTTCTGTGGGCGCAAATGCCTTGTTGATGCCAGAGGTCAGAAGAGAATGGCCAGACTGGTTTGAGCTGATAGAAAGACAACAGTAACTCAAATAACCACTCGTTACAATCGAGGTATGCAGAAGAGCATCTCTGAATGCACAACATGTCCAACCTTGGCAGTTCTGAAGGCAAAAAGAGAGTCCAACCTGGTAGTAAGGCATACCTAATAAAGTGGCCGGCGAGTGTATGGTCAACCATTTGGTAGAGCAGGCAGTTAAAGGGATTTATTTATTAAACAACGTTATCTAACGACAGTTTACGTTTTTGCTGCATTTTGTTGGTCTGCGGCACAGAAAAGGTAATGAAATGTGAAGAGTTACCACAGAGGTGAGGGATATTCGCACCATTTACTCATTTGGCATCTTTTTCCCTCCCAGACGATGCCTGCAAATGATGGAGGGCGCTTCTTTTTTTTTTTGCGTGCGAATATCCACAGGGGAGAGAAAATCGCTTAGCATTTGAATGACTGCGATTTCTCTTCAGTGCTCAGAGAGAGAAGAGGGGTGACGGATTTTAATGGAAGTGTTAATGCCTGCTTTGGAAGCGGTGGAATTGTTGGTGGGACAGGTGTCTTTTCTTTCGGCGAGCGCTTGAGATTTTATCGACGGTCTCTTAATCTGCTCCCTTGGCGCTGTAAATCAGTCCTAGGTGGATTTGCGATTGGTTTTCCCTCTGTGTGGGGGAACAACAGCGCCACGAGGACAATGTTAAATTGGTTTGATTTGAACAAACAATTGACGCTGCCCTCACAAATGAGTGTAGGACGGCCACAATAACCTCTAGTTCTCCAGAGATTCGCACTAAATGCCTGCAGACACTACGACGCACAATGATTCATAATTGCTCAAATTCTCTTTCACAATGGAATTATGGGTGCAGTGAGTACAGGGGATAAACAATTCAAGCGTATAGAATAATGTTTACATAATGCATATCTGAAAACGCACAATAACGGCAAGCTATTACAGAGCAATTTCAGTCTGATTTGATGTATTGTTAGCGCACCTGGAGCAAGAGCTGTTTTGTGGGAAATAGTATGGGCTAGGAATATGTTCTAGGCCTTCATATACCTATAAAAATGTTTTTGCTTCTGTACCTCATGTTACATTTACAACCAAACACCAAAAAGTAAATAGAAATATGCTTAAAACACATTGACATAATATTAATATATGTATAAATGTATGAATAAATGTATTTAATTATTTTAATATTTATAATATATTTTATTATAATAGATATGGTAACACATCTTCTAAAATACAATTCCAAAAAGAATATTTATTGATTTTCTTTCAGCGTTTTTTTATTTATCAGGGGTTGCCACAGCGGAATGAACCATCAACTATTTCAGCATATGTTTTACGCAGCAGATGCCCTTCCAGCCACAACCACTGAGAAACATCCAAACACACTTGTTCAGACACGCTCATACACTAATTTAATTTATTCAATGCACCTATAACGCATGTCTTTGGACTGCAGGGGGAAACCGGAGCACCCAGAGGAAACCCCCAGAAACATGGGAAGACCATGCAAACTCCACACAGAAATGCCAACCAACACAGGCAGGACTTGAACCAGCACCTTCTTGCTGTTAGGTGACAGTGCTAACCACTGAGTCATCGTTTCACCCTTCGAAAAAAATATGAGGATAAAAAAATAAAGAAAAAAATACTCACCATAAATAGCATTAAATAGCGTATATATATATATATATATATATATATATATATATATATATATATATACACACACACACACACACACACACACACACACACATATATATATATATATATATATATATATATATATATATATATACAGTTGAAGTCTGAATTATTAGCCCCCATGACTTATAAGCGTCCCCTGTTCCCCAATTTCTGTTTAATGGAGGGAAGATTGTTTTCTTAACTGGGTTAATGATATAATGGTATAATGATGGTTTGTTCTGTAGACTATCGAAAAAAAAAATTGCTTAAACGGGCTAATAATTTTGTCCCAAATTAGTTTTTTTTTTTTTTTAAATAATAACTACTTTTATTATAGACGAAATAAAACAAATAAGACTTTCTCCAGAAGAAAAAATATTATCAGACATACTGTGAAAATTTCCTTGCTCTGTTAAACATCATTTAAGAAATATTAAGTAAAGAAAAAAAAATCGAAAGGGGGCTAATAATTCTGACTTCAACTGTGTATATATATATATATATATATATATATATATATATATATATATATATATATATATATATATATATATATATTGATATAATTTTCAGATTATACTTCACAATCACAGCTGAATTTAGCATAAAGCAGATGCAACATGCAGAAGTGATGCATTATTTTGTAATGCAACATAAACAGAACGGGCAAAGTAAAATAAAACTGGCATTATCCACATATATTTAATTATTTTAGAAAATTAAATCAATGAACACATTTTGTATTTGCATTTTTTTTATTTTTGTGCATACATTTCCTTTTCGTCGACCCCTATATGATGATGATTCTTTTTTTTTTTGTCCTCAAATTGGAATTGTATTATTGAAGATGTTATATTTTATTAAAATATTTCATAAATATTATATAAATAATATAATTATAATTTAGCCACCAAACATATTTAGAAATTGAATGATAATACAATTAAATTGAAGTAAAATATTGCAACCTACAACCTACAAAATTACAACCAACAAAGATTCTACTTAATTTTTATTTATTTTTTTGATTCTCTTGATTTTTCCTCTCTTTTAAATTTGTATTTAATATTTTTCTATAACATATAAGTTTGGGTGTTGTATAAATTTTTGACCGTTATCATACATTATTTTTGTTAGTTAAGTTTCAGATTTGGCTTCAGGCTAATCTAATGTATATGCACAAATATATATATATATATATATATATATATATATATATATATATATATATATATATATATATATACGCTATTTAATGCTAATA